GAGAAAAAAATGCAACTCAGATTGATCTGTTTTTATAAATACTTAAAAATTTTTGGATGAGAAGGCAACTATAGGGAGGTTTGGATGATGCTCTTTTTTTTTTCACCTTAAGATGATTGAAGGCTATCTTTATCTTAGAAAATACTTTGTAAAGAAGCATTTATTTAGATACTCTTGTGCAACTCAACTATAACTTAAGGATTGAATAATTAGAAAATAATTTAAAAAGTAATTCTATTTTGGAGAAATAATTTTTTTCAGAAATCTCTCATAAAGTTTGTTTGCCAATGTTTTTATTGCTACCAGTGTTAGTGACTTAAGAATTTCATGATTCAGAGACTCCAGGAAGCGGAGAATCGAAACCAGGAATTGAGTCAAAGTGTTTCATCAACAACAAGACCATTGCTTCGACAGATAGAAAATTTGCAAGCAACTCTAGGGTCCCAGACGTCGTCGTGGGAGAAGTTAGAGAAGACTCTTTCTGATAGGCTTGGTAACTGCTTTAGTTCTTATAAGCTCAATGCAGAAGCCCTTATTCTAGCTTAGAATTAGGATAATAAATAGTATGATATTGAAAATCACTTTATCTGTTAGTTATATAGTTATATTTTGTGTCTTATGGATTTTTATATCTTTTACATTTATTTTGTAAAATCTTAATTGACTTTTAGACCATTTCTTTTCCCTAACCTAATGTGTTAGATACTATCTAAAATTATCTGTGTCATTTTTTTTTTCATTTATTTTTACCAGACTTCTGCACTCAATTTTTTCCTTGTCTATTGTTAAATCTGACCTTTTTCTAGCTTGTCTGCAATAGTGTAGGAGGTGGAAATCAGATATGATTCTAATCAGTGGCAGACTCCCGAAAGCAGAGATAGGTCTAAGAAAAATCAGGATCAAACCTAGTATTCAGGAGAGAGAAAAAAATGGCATAGGTGATAGAGGCTCTGTTCATCCCTCTATCAAATCAAAGTTGTAACAGAAGCAAGAAGCAAACAGCAAGGAAAGTCACCTGGGAACTAGACGAACAAGCCCTACAACTGGGGAGAGAAATAAGAAATCACCCTGCAATGGGAAGAGGTAGGATAGGACCAAGAAGTGAAGCTACCCGGTCTCAAGTGGCTGAGTAGGACAGAGGCCATAGCAGCGGCAGCCAGCAGCTACAGATGCCTCTTAAAGGGGCTGTGTTTGCAGGCAGACTTTTGCAGTGACAGATCTACTCTCTCTCAGCACCAGCAGCAGGTCGGCTGCTTGGTGGGCACCAGGGACTTAGAGGAGGACACTGAGTTGTCGGAGTGAGGGCTGGAGGCGAGACTTGCTCTGTGCAGAAGTGCCAGCGGTATCCATTGTTCCTTTGTTGAGCCCTCTTCACCTCCCAGTGTGTGGATACAGCACCGCCATAGCTTATACGTCATCAAACTGGATAACAGAGGTCGCTCCGTCCAGAGGATTCTCTGAAATTCTACCTTCCCAAACTCGCAGTACCTCCCAAGTCACATCCAAAGGTTTCCTTAGCTAGTCAAGTGCCCCTTGCTAAGCAGTGCCTAGACACTGGTAGCAGCTGACCGCAGTTTCTGGTGTGGCCTCTTGAGGCAACTATAAGCACATCATCTGTGGATTCCCTGCTGAATCTTAACAGGTAGCTCTGGAGGGGTACAGGTGGGGCTAAACTTGGCCTGCAGTTGAACCCTTTTCAGGGCTATGCCACTGGACACCTACCACACAAAGCCGCACTAAGAAGACCGGGAGACTTAAGAGCTTTGCTTAGTACATAGAAATAGACACAGAAAGGCAGCCAAAATGGGAAGACAAACAGACACCATATGAGAGAACAGAACAGAGTTCCAGAAATAATGGAGTCGAGCAATCTAACAGATGCAGAGTTCAAAACACTGGTTATAAAGATGCTCAATAAACTTATGGGAACCGCAGATGGATTCAGTGAGAACTTCAACAAAGAGATAAAAAACATAAAAATGGAAATGGAAATTATAAAAGGGAACCAGTCAGAAATGAAGAACACATTATCTGAGATGAGAAGCATATTAAATGGAATAAACAAGAGTGAATAAAGGAGAGGATGAAATGACTGATATAGAGGATGGGAAAACCAAGGACACTCAATCAGAATGGCAAGAAAAAAGCCAAGACTATAATAATAATTCGAGGAGCCTGTGGGACACTATTAAATGTAAAAATATCCCTGTCATGGGGGTACCTGAAGGAAAACAAGACCTCGAAGAGCTATTTGAAGAAATAATGGAAAACTTTCCTAACCTGGTGAAGGAAATAGACATAAAACACCAGGAAGCTCAGAGAGTCCCAAAAACCAAGAACCCAAAAAGGCCCACACCAAGATACATCATAATTAAAATGCCAAAGGTTAAATATAAAGAGAGAATCTTAAAAGCAGCAAGAGAAAAGCAGCTACCTACAGGGAGCACCCATAAGACTGACAGCTGATTTCTCAAAAGAAACTATGCAGGACAGAAGGACTTTGCACAAAATATTCGACGTGATGAAACCCAGGATCTACAACCAAGAATACTTTACCCAGCAAAGCTATCATTTATAGTCGAAAGATAGACAAAGAGCTTCCTAGACAAAAATAAGCTAAGAGAATTTATCATCACCAAGCCAGCATTACAGGAAATGTTGGAGAGACTTCTTTAAGATGGAAATACATGTATCAAAAACAGGAGTAAAGAATGGTAATAACTACATTCCTATGAACAAGTACCTCAAGTGGAAAAGAATTAAGTGCTCCAACCAAAAGACAGAGTGGCCGAATGGATAAAACAAGATCCCTACATGCTGCCTACAAGAGACTCACTGCAGATTAAAAGACACACACAGACTAAAAGGAAGGGGACAGTAAAGATATTGCCTTGATGGACCTAGAGGGTACTGTGCTGAATGAAATGGGTCAGCTAGAGAAAGACAAATATCGCATGATTTCACATACATGTGGAAGCTAAAGAACAAAATCAGCAACAACATAAAAGTGGAAATAAACTCATTGATATAGAGAATATTTTTGAGGCTACTAGATGGGGTATTGGGAGAAAGAAAAATTTAAAGGGATTAAGAGGTACAAATTGTTAGTTGCAGAATAGACATGGAGATGCAGAGTGTAGCATGGGGAAGATGGTTAATGTAATAAATATGTAAGAGGGAAGAGGGGTACTAGATTAGGGGTGATCACTTTGCGAGTTATGTGGATCTGTGATCACTATGGTATGCAGCTGAAACTATATTATTGTATACCAACTATAATTTAAAAAACTCATTGAATTGTACAGTGTAAATACAATGAACGAATTGTCTATTTCAGTAAAGCCAGCAGGGGGTAGGGGAAGGGACTCTAGTATTCTGATGCTATGGAGTCTTAAGTTTTTATAATTCTTCTTTACAGAAATGCCCCCAAATTGCCTTTCTGTGCTGTTAATAAAAAGAAAATTATTCTTCCAAGATGTTTATTCAAGCACAGACAGATAGTATATGTGTACATTAGATATCCCAGAAGCTAGCAGATTCATGAAAAATCCATGTGCCCATTCTGCACCTTAAACTAACTGTAATTTAAGACAACGTTGTGATGTAGTTATGAAAGCAGACTTGAGTGTCAGGAGACCTGGACTCAGGGCTTTTTTTGGTTTGTTTTTTTTGTTTTTAATAATCCAGCCAAACAGTCTTGAGCAAGTCACTTACCTTGTCTGAGCTACTCACTGTAAATCATGAGGGGTGAAAGAGATTAGTGGCTTTCAAACAGTCTTCAATAGATCCCTTAGATGCGTGTTTAAGGGCTAGCTGTCGTGGTGAGAGGGACACTATAAAGAAGAAGCAGGGCTCCTTCCAGGCTTCTTTAATGAAAGCAGTTCCTCCTTTGTCTATCCTTTTTTGATTTCCATGTAAGATTTTGTATGGAAAAAGATGTATCTGCTTAAAAAAAAAAACCCATTGAACTAAATGAACCTTCATATATTGTTTAATTTTTATGTATAAATCTTAGATCTGTCATTTATGACAACTTTTTGAGACCAATTTTTTTATGAAATGTGAGACATCTGAAAATGACACCTTCCAAAATAAATATTTAGCGATAAATGAGAGGTAGAAGCCATTATTTTTGTGGTTTTTCAACTGGATTCTGTATACTCTTGGCGATATGTGGTATTGTACTGGAATATAGACAAAGCCACAGGACAAACATACCATAATAGAACATTTTTATTGAGATAATTGTAGATTAACATGCAGTTATAAGAAATAATTCAGAGTGGTCCCTTACACACTTTCCCCAGTATCTTCAAATGTTAACATTTTGCAAAATTATAATACCACAATGAGTGTATTGACATTGATACAGTCTACTGATTTTATTCATATTTCCCGTTTTACTGATACTCATTTGTGTGTCTGTATGTCTCTGTTTGTATATTAAGTTCTATGCAATTTTACCACTTGTGTGGGTTCATGTATCCATTACTATAGTAAAGATATTGAATAATTCCAATATCACAAAGATCCTTCATGTTGCCCTTTTAAACCACTTATCACCTTTGAGCCTCTCCGTCCCTGTTCCAAATCCCTGGCAACTGCTAACCTGTCCTCTATTTCTAAAACTTTGGAATTTCAAAATGCTATATAAATAGAATTGTATAAAATTTCTGGGACTGGTTTTTTAGCCCAGAGTAATTCCCTGGAGATTCATCCAAGTTATTGTGTGTGTCAGTGATTTAGTCTTTTTATTGCTGAGTGCTTTTTAATGGTATGTGTGTACCACATTTTGTTTACCTGATGAAGAGTGTATGGACTGATAAAGATTTTGTCTATACAGATAAGCTGCTATGAACATTTATGTATAAACTTTATGTTTAAATGTGAAGATATGTTTTTATTTCTCTGGGTAAATGCCCAAGAGTGCAATTGCTAGGTAGTTGCATGTTTATTTTAAAGAAAATGAAAAAGCGTTTTCCAAGTGGCTGTCTCTATGAGAGTAATCCATTTCCTCCACATCCTTGCTAGCATTTTGTGTTGTCCCTATTTTTCCTTTTAATCATTCAGACAGGTGTGTAGTGATATCTCATTATTATTTTAATGTGCATTAATTTAATGACTAATGATGTTGAACATCATTTCATGTGCTTATTCTCTATACATTTTCTTTGATGAAATGTCTATTCAGGTCTTTTTCCATTTTCTAATTGGATTATTTGCATTTTCACTGTTGAGTTTTGAGACTTCTTTATATATTCTAGATACTAGTCTTAGATAATGCAGTTTGCATTTATTTTCTCCAAGTCTGTAGCTTGTCTTTTCATCCTATTCACATAGAGCAAAAGTTTAAAATTATGAAGTTCATTTTATCAATTAAAAATATTTTTTCAGTTAGTTGATATTCAATATTATGTTACTTTCAGATGTACAGCGTAGTGATTAGACATTTATATAACTTATGAAGGGATCTCCTGATAAGTCTTGTACCCATCTGGCACCATACATAGCTATTATAATATTATTGACTATATTCCCTATGCATTACTTTACATTTCCGTGACTATTTTGTAACTTCCAATTTGTACAACTTTATCTCTTCACCTTTTTCATTCAGCCCCCCAACTTTCCTCCTATCCGGCAATCATCACTTTGTTTTCTGTATCTACAACTTTGTTTCTATCTTGTTTATTCATTTATTTTGCTTTTTAGATTCCACATATAAGTGAAACCATATGGTATTTGTCTTTCTTTGTTTGACATATTTCACTTAGCATAATATCCTCTAAATCCATCCATGTTGTCACAAATGGTAAGATTTCATTCTGTTTTATGGTCGAGTAATATTCCATTGTATATATGTACTACATCTTTATCCATTCATCTTTCGATGGGAGCATTTAATCCATTTACATTCAAAGTATTTATAGGTGTGTAGTTAATGCCATTTTATTGTTTTCTGATTATTTTTGTAGTTCTTCTCTGTTCTTTTCTTATTCTCTTGCTTTCCTGTATGTTGATGCCTTTCTGTGGTGTTGGATTCCTTTTCTTTATTTCTTGTCTTTTAGATTTTCGGTTTGTAGTTACAATGTGCTTCATATATACCAGGCTTTGTTTATAGCAGTCTATTTTAAGTTGATGGTTGCTTAAGTCTCAGCACATTCTAAAATCATTACCATTTTTACTCACCCCTCTGTGTTTATGTTTTTGTCATTATTTTTAACTTTGCGTGTGTGTTTGTGTGTATCTTTTAATTTACTGTTGTAATTATGCATCACCTTTCTACTTTTGCCTTTTAACCTTTGTTAGTGTTGATTGACTGCTTTTATTATATGTTTGCTTTGGTCAGTGAGAATTTTTTTTGCAATATTTTCATATATATATATTTTTTCTTTTTAAAGAAGTCCTTTTAACATTGCTTGTAATGATAAACTTCTTTAGCTTTTCTTGTCTGAGAATATCAGTTTTTCTTTTTATGGCTCGTGTTTTTGGTTTCAAATCTAAGTACTCTTTGCCTATCCCTAGATCCTGAAAATTCTATTTGTTTTCATAAAAGTTTTATAGTTTTGTTTTATACTTAACTTTATGATCCATTTTGAGTTAATATTCATAAATGGTATAAAGTTTATTTTGAAGGTTTTCTTTTGTCTTTTTTTTTTTTTTTGGCCTGTGGATGTCCAGTTGCTCCAGCACTATTTGTTGATCCTCTGCACTTTTAAAACATAACTCCACTTTCAAATTAAAATACTTTGGGGAAAATGATAATACAGGAATAAATTAAGATTGGTGGTTTAGTCTCTGTAGCCAGTCCTGTCTTAGGCAATAAGTAGTTACAGTATTAAGTGTGGCTGCCTACATCATTAAAATTTTCAAGTCAGAATTGACATGGTATCTTGGCCTCTTGGGTATATGTATATGTGATTTTCCTTTTTATTCTCCATTCAGGTGAATCTCAGACCCTGCTGGCAGCAGCAGTTGAAAGAGAACGTGCAGCTACAGAAGAACTCCTTGCCAACAAAATTCAAATGTCTTCCATAGAGTCACAGAATTCTCTCTTAAGACAGGAAAACAGTAGATTTCAGGCCCAGGTAGAATCAGAGAAAAATAGGCTAAGAAAACTGGAAGATGAAAATAATAGGTGAGCATATTTCTTCAGTGTTTGGTAGCTTAGTGACATTTTAAAGCACTTAAAAACATGTTTTCTGCTTTTAGCCTTGTAGCACTGAGAACTGAAAATATATACTTTTAGTGTTTTAAGTCAGTCATTAGTAATAGGATATTATAACAAGATAGTACTGAGATTCATTGAACCTTACATGTATTCTTGAGATTGTGTGGCATGTTCTGTATGTATTTTCATTTTCTAGAGAAAGGATTCATTGCTTTAATCAGATTTTTTAAAGAAGTCTATAACCACAAAATAGTTTGGAGACCACTCATTCGAGTTATTTTCATATTACAGGGGTTTTAGCAGTGTTCCAAATGTGCTGGTTCATTGGAAACACAACTATAAAATCCGTCTATCTGAAATTATATCAACGCAGTGATTAGTGTGTTTTTTACCCTCTGAGTTCTTCCTTGCAAATTTTACTTTAAAAAAATAAGTAAAAATGATTTATAAAGTAAAATATCTGAACTTTTGCAAACATTTTCACAGAACCCCTTAACTAGCTTTTGCAGAATCTGAACATGTCTGAATGGTCATACACCAATATAAAATATATAAAAGTATTAGACTGGCTTCTGAGTAAAACCCAAGTGATCTGGAAAATAAAATTGGAAAATCAAGCTGATAATAAAAATGATACTAAATATCTAACTGGAGTTAATAAAGTAGTTAGTTTTTAATAGTGTGTACTATCATGTTTTTTGTTTTGTTTCATTCTCCTCTGGCTTAATAGATACCAGGTTGAATTAGAAAACCTAAAAGATGAATATGTAAGAACACTTGAAGAGACAAGGAAAGAAAAGGTATGCTCAATTCTTAAGGCTTCTGTTAGAGAATGGTAGCGAACTAATGAGATGACGATGAAATGGGCAAGGTTGCTGCTTTTGGAACTTTATCTTTCTTAATAAAACAAATAGGACTATATACTTTATGCTCCTAGCTTTGAGGTTGACTAACGATGATGATTTAGTATCACAGGAATTCTCTAACTATATCTCTCTCCATTAGACACTGTTGAATAGTCAGTTAGAAATGGAGAAAATGAAAGTTGAACAAGAAAAGAAGAAAGCAATTTTTACTCAAGAAGCAATAAAAGAAAAGGTATTGAATTTTGTCTTGTTGTTTTGTTTTTGATGTATCCAGTTAGTAGCTATTGTGATTAATCATTGATTGTTTTATAATTTTAGTTATAGTTTATAAATACCATTTCTTCTGTCTAAGATCAGAGTGATGAATTTTAGTAGTGTAAGCAGTGTCCTGGTCAGAGTGGATCCAAGTAATTTGAGTTTATTCAGAGATCTGTGATTTCTAGGATTTAAATTACAGAACTTCCTTTTAAATTAATTTTGTAGTTTCTTACTGAAATTAGTGCTTCTCATTTGGCCCATAGACACTTTGGGAGTAAAACTGGTTGTTCACTTCTTTTCTGGTGAACAAAGGTAATTTTTAAAATTGAGTTTTCCTATATTTAAAGGGTTGGAGTATACTCAATAGCATAATATGTTAAAACTACCTATGCACATTGAAATTCCCTTTTGAATTTATTTGGCATTTAAAAAAATACACTGAAAATAAAATGGATAAGCTGGAAACTTAATGTTTTGTAAAACTCATTAGTAATCTTATTCTAAAGAAATAGATAGTAATTGGTGTTATGTTATATAAGAAGCAGCAGTTCGTGTAATAGTTTCAATAACATTCTTATTCCATTAGAAATAAACCAAATTAGGTTGTCGCAATATACATGGGTCCTCAGATGATTTGATCAAGTCTATTTATACTTTTAAATTACTAAATTTTGTGCCTTGGATAAGACTTCAGAAATTATATCTGTAACATTTTATGAGGATATTAGAATGAGTCTTTGCTGTCATTAATCCTAGGAAAGTTTCTTGCTTTTTTTATTTATCATTTTATTTTTTAATCAGAACTGAATTTTTCTTACTCCTTAGGAACGGAAGCCATTTTCTGTTTCTAGCACTCCCACAATGTCACGCTCAAGTTCAATAAGTGGAGTTGAGATGGCAGGGCTACAAACATCTTTTCTGTCTCAGGTGATGTTTTATTTCTTACATATGCTTAGTTCTTAAAGTGAATAATGAAGAGACTATGCAGATAGCAGTTTGCCTATTACCATGACTTTGCCATTTCATAGGCAGTTCATCTGAATTTGTGAAAGAGTACTGATTGAGGAAATATAGATGATTTTCTGCCTTTGAGAAAGTCATAGAAATATTAAAGCAAGAATTGACTGAATCATTTTGTTTTAACCATATAACGAAATACAATCTATAATAACTGAATTACTCTGGCTTTCTTTAATTAACATAGGATGAGCCTCATGATCACTCTTTTGGACCAATGTCCATATCAGCAAATGGAAGCAATCTTTATGATGCTGTAAGGATGGGAGCAGGATCAAGCATTATTGAAAATCTCCAGTCTCAGCTAAAACTAAGGGAAGGAGAAATTACTCATTTACAGGTATCGGAAAAATTAAATATGCTACAGAAATAGCTGAAATTTTGATGCCCAATAAGAAGCACCTGAAGCAGATTGAGAAATAAAATGAAAAAGTGTCATGTGAAGCCCAAAATGTATCACATATGTTAATGATAAAGGCAGTTGGAGAAATTATCCAAAGATCAGAGCCAAGGGAACCTGCTCACTGATTGCCATAATGAGGGAGATTTACATAACTGTGTGACAGGAAATGCTGGGCTACATTAGGCCTCCCCACATGTTGTAGCTTGTCCAGGTGGGACTTTAGGCATCTAGGAGCAAAGAGCTCTTTGCAGACAGCTTTTTCAAACACTGAGAAAGAGAAGTTGCTGAGCTGAAAATACCCATTTTATTCTTCCCAGATTTACCATGTAAATGTTGCTCCAACTCCCCCTGTGAGTGAGTAAAGGTCATGAGAGAGATTAGAACTGTTAACATTGTGCACCGGAAAAGAAACATCATGAGTCAGAAGGGAGCATCCTCCCATTTTGCTTTTTAAAAACAATGTAGTGAGAAATGTTAAAACGTTTTACCTGTTCAGTGTTAAACTTGATACACTCAGAAGTAAAACTTTCCTCTTCTATTCATATTGTATGACTTTAGTGAGTTGAAAATATTACTCTATTAAATGAGACGTTCTTGAGTTGGAAAAAAATAGATCAGAATAATCTTAATACTTGTTATGTTTATGTAGCCCTGTATACTGTGCCTGTGGGCCCAAATTAACTTCTTTGGTAGTGACAGTAGAGTCTGTCAATATGATCTGTACAGCTGGAGTTAACATTAAACTGTGTTTTTATTTCTCTGGGTTTTTGTAGTAATTTAGAATAACTAAAATATATGCTATTTCCTTAGATTAGAGAAAAATATAGGGTTGCATATTTCAGATGATTGGATTTCCTTTAGTTCTTTATCTCTTTCATAGTAAACCCCATAAATAGGAAAAGAAATCTTTTTTTGCTGCTATTTTACTTAAAGGGCTACAGTATATGTGGTTATATGTTGATATATTTATTTCTTAAAAAAAAAAAACACATCAGATATTTTTGTATTAGTGGGAGCATTAAACAAGATACATTTTGATTTAAATTTCTGGTAATGTTTCTCAGCTAGAAATTGGCAATCTAGAAAAAACACGCTCAATAATGGCTGAAGAGCTAGTTAAATTAACAAATCAAAATGATGAACTTGAAGAGAAAGTGAAGGAGATACCCAAACTTCGAACTCAGCTAAGAGTAAGTATCCTTCACTGAAAGATGAACCTAAGATGTTTTAATCCAGTTACATTAAAACTTATATTTTTAGTTTACATAAAATGCATATATTTGTTAATGATTTCTTTGAAATTTAGAATATTAGTATTTGAGTAAAGAACTTTAAAGGTGAATTATTTATCTTGGTTGTCATATTATACATTCAAAGTATTTTTCACAATCATGTTTAATCCCACATAGGAAAATAGCTAGATTTTATTTGGCCAAGGCTCATTTATAATGTTGCACTTTTGTATGATCTTAGTACTATTTTATACATTGAAATTGTGTATACGTCAGATAGCACATTCGGTATTAATAGCCACTGTTAAGCCATATATAAAAATTTTTTTCACCTTTTCCTATTAGATAAGTGCCAGGGAATACTTAAACCACAGCGAACCAGAGACTAAAATTTTATCAAATGTGCTTAAATTAATGGGAGAAAACACTGATTAAGCTATATATTGGGTAATTATATACTTAGTGGAACAATACAGTAAGATTGATAGCCATTTGGCTTTTAAAATAAATAAATAAATAAATGAATGAATTTATTCATTCATTTATTTATTTATTTATTTATTTATTTATTTATTTATTTATTTATTTATTTTCTTTTTTCTTTTTTAAATGCCTATAGCACCTGGTAGTCCTAGGTGGTCTCCCATTCAAATATTAACCAGGCCCGACCCTGCTTAGCTTCTGAGATCAGATGAGATCGGGCACATTCAGGGTGGCATGGCCATAGACTTTTTTTTTTTATTCCTTTATTTGCTATTTATCCCAACAGACTGAAATGTGAGTTTAATTTGTATGCACATTGATTATATACTTTTATTGAGATTATAATGTGTTTTTTTTGGTGACTCATTTATGATAATATAAATATAATTAAGATGTTCTGTAGAGTTATTTTACAAATTGTAAACAAACATGTTTTGTAGGATTTGGATCAAAGATACAACACTATTCTGCAGATGTATGGAGAAAAAGCAGAAGAGGCAGAAGAACTTCGATTAGATCTTGAAGATGTAAAAAATATGTATAAGACTCAAATAGATGAACTTTTAAGACAAAGACTTAGTTAACATCTGAAAATTACATTCCCATCAAACTGAATGTAAACATTTAATAGCTAAATGCAGACTACTAATAAATTCTCTTATAGAATTTGAAAGTGGAATTTACTTTAGAGTGCAAAAATTGAAAGTTTTATAGTATATAGTAGCAATATTTGCAGTTAAATTATTTTGTGCAATATTTGAACTTTATTTTTGAAACTGTCTTTAAAGAATTATTTTTAAAGCATTTTTTTTGCCTTGAATAGCACAATACTTTACCCTTATATCAATATGGTTAGGGAAGGAGAATGGTGTTCGTATATTATATTACAGATAAATAATTAATTCTAGCTATAATTTATATATGTTTATATGTATGGAGAACATTTAATGAGTGATTTTAACATTGAAACTTTGAAATTTTTCACGCTTAAATCTTAATTTCTAATTACAACTCATGAAAATGGACAATAAGTGTTCAAGTAAAAAATTATTAAACCTCTGGTTATTAAATTTTGAACTAAGAAATCGCACTGACACTGTCTGAGGTTTAAAGGGTAAATAATTTAAATTAAAAAATTTTTCTGCTCGGAACGTTTATTTCACTCAGATTTTACAATTAAGCCTATACAAATTTTACCTATCTGCAAAGAGCTGTAGCTATTCAGAGTTATCTAGGCATGATTGAATAATGGAAAAATTTTACTAATAATGATCTTGTGATGATATCAGTAATATTTAAGTGATTTATCTTATAAAATGAATCGGAGTAATAAAATTATTAACCTAATTTTCTCTTTAAAAATTAATCATTCATATTTTGTAAAGCCTTATTTTTGACACATTAAAAATGAATGTTTGATATTACAGAAAATTCATGACAAAATGAGAAATTATAGGAGTTAACTTTAAATTTGACATTTGCAATTCTGTGTAATTTATCATGTTTTTTCCTTGAAACTTTAAACACAAAAATAGTGCAGAATAGCTTTAAAAAATAGCTATGTCTTTCTCCAAATGTTATTTTGTTCAAAAGTTAACCAGGCTATGTTTTAGACTTGTGAAATATTTTAATACATTTTATTACTAAAAGTCATTTAGCTGCCTTTACTTGCAAATAAAAACCTTCATTTAATTTTTTGTTAAATTTTAAACACTAGAACTTAGAAATATAGCTATAAGTAAGCCATGTTGAAGAATTCAAATGCTTTTCAGGGCAATTCAAGTGACCTCATTTTTGTTCTTTTTGTATTCCAGATAATATTTCTGTCACTGGATCTCTGATGTGTAGCATTAATACATATTCTTTGAGTGTGAGCCAAATTTAGAAAATTAATTTTTTATATTTTAGTGGTAAAAATCAGTGTAATAGCTTTTTGTCACCATGACTTTTTTTTTAAATAAAAAAATGACAAGACTAATGGCAATAAGAAATATACAGAATTAGAAAATATAGGAAACTCAAGTTGCAAAATTCTGTCAAGTGTTTGAAACTAGAAGTTTAGGCATTATTAAATTGTTCTTTTAAAATATTCATTAGCTAGAGAAAAGATTTAAATAAAACTCAGACCTTCCAATTTCATAATATTAAACATTCTCTTCTCTTAACCTTAATTAACATAAATAAAATCAATACAACTTAAAACTTTAAAGTGTTTTCAATTTATTTAATTTAAAAATGGCAAGCAGCTAATTTAGTTTTTGGCTACATATTACCATACATTGTTCTTTATCCACAAACAAATAGCTGATATTCGTAGTGATCTTATTTTACTATAAAGTTAGATCTGTTGATACATTTATAAGTTGAGAAGTGTATTGAATAAATTTCTTGAAAAACTCCCCTTAATAACAATACATAATAAATATTGGTTGCTATATTTTGCTTTATCATTAAAACTTCTCTATCCATATTCTAATAAAGTAATATTTATATTTTAATGGATAAGAGAATAGTTTGCAGTAGATGTTTCCATTCTTGAAGGATAACAAAGATACTACAAATCATAACAATTCCAAGAAAAAAATAAAAGAGGTATGAACCCTGTTGTTCTATGTCTGGACATTTAAGCACAGATAATAGGCATCCTTCTCTTGGGAAGCTAAATTGAGACTACATTTCTTCCTTTTTCTTTGCCTCTCTTTTTGAGAACTTACTGTTTTACAGTTTAGCACATGAGAATGTATCAAATGTATCTATATTGTGATTTAAGAAATTCTAAATATGGATAATTTCTGACCTAGAGAAACATTAGTTTTTGTAATTAGTAAGTGAAAAGAATGTTCAAGAAAAATTTTTTCTCATGATCCCTCTATTGGCATTTGATTCATTAATCGAAAGTTTTATTCAAATACTTATTAAAAGTATATGATCTATAGTATTTAGAAAATAGCCACAAGAAAAAATTGAAAATGATTGTATATATTTTATCTTGTTTTACTTTTTGTTGAGTATGTATACATTTGTTCCAGTGTATTATAATTTTTTATTTTCACTAAAAAAATTTTTCCCTATTCAGTTTTAAATTATATATTTTGTAAAGGGCTGAAAGTATGATTTAAACTAAATTGATATTATACATCTCTTAATTCTAAATGAAAGATAATGTAAATAATAAGCATGGGTCTGATTTTAATAAAGATTTTAAAATAGTAATAATGTATTTCATTTTTAACATAATTTAAAGTGGTTAATACCAATGAATGGAGATAGTGTTGTTTTATGAGGATAATATAACGTGTAACTGTGGAATTCATATTTTAAGAAAATGAGGATAAGCTCAAATTTTTTGTGAGTTTTAAGACTCACTAGTATTAAGCTTCATTTTTCTAATGAATATATATTTTCGGAAAACATAACTAAGATTTACTTATTGTGACTGATAATTAAGGATGATTTGTGTCTTTTCAAAATCTTAAACGGTATTAAGATAGTCTTAAAAGTCTTAATTCTTAAATACTTTTTAAAAAACAAACAACACACAAAATAACCCCAATGCTTCAGTAATCCAGAATTGTGATACAGAGAATTTACTCTTAGTGCTGTCCAGGATTTATTCCCCATACTGCCCTACTCTCTAGTAAGCTAAATTTAATTTTAGAATCCTCAAATAATATTAAGAGGTGTGAATGAAAAGGACCTATGTAGAAAATCTGACAAGCTGGGGGCTACTCGGCAGGCTTAACAAGCCCAGTGACTGGAAAGTAACCACACTGAATGATGTGATCATAAATTCCTAACTGGGTAGGTCATGGTGGGTAGTCATGCCCCAGACCTATACCTTCTTTAGTGAAAGGTTTATCTTTGCCTTAAGTGAGCCCTGTCCATTGTTCTTTTCTTTTTAATTAAATTTATTGGGGAAACATCGCTTAATAACATGTTTCAGGTGTACAAGTCTATTATATACCATCTGTATATTGCAATGTGTACTCACCACCCAAAGTTTAGTCTCCTGTCACTATATATTGACCCCATTTATCCTCTTCATCCTCTCGACACCCCCTTCTCTTTTATTAACCACCACACTGTTGTCTGTGTCTGAGTTTGTGTCTTGTATCCCACAGATGAATGAAATCGTAATACTAGCTATAAGGGAAGTGCAAATCAAAACCACAATGAGATACCACCTCACACCTGTTAGAATGGCTATTATCAGTAAGACAAAAAGTGTTGAAGAAGATGTGGAGAAAAGAGAAACCTCATTCACTGCTGGTGGGAATGTAAATTGGTACAGCCACTATGGAAAACAATATGGAGGTTTCTAAATTAATAGAGCTACCGTATGACCCAGCAATCACTATCCTGGGTATTTACCCCAAATATTTGAAAACACTTATTCATAAAGATACGTGTACCCCTATGTTCATTGCAGCATTATTCACAATAACCAAGACAAGGAAACAACCTAAGTGTCCTTCAACAGATGATTAAAGAAGATGTGGTACATATATACAATGAAATACTACTCAGCCATAAAAAATGATGAAATATAGCCATTAGTGACAACATGGATGGATTGTGAGAGTATCATGCTAAGTGTACATCGTTCTTGTGCATCTAGGTTAACATATCTTTGAAATGCCAGAGTAATCTTTTCCAACCTCAGAGGTGTAACCATCTTTGTAGGAGCAGCAAGTAAATTCATTGTAAACTTGTTGCCTGTTACCATCTCTATTTACTGTAAACATTAACTATCCTATACCCACCAATGTAAAAAAAGTATGTATCTCTCCATTTTGCTTTTAATCCAATCCCAGAGATTCCCCCCATTCTGCTTTGCTTTCTCCTACCTCCTTGATCAATCACCAGTGGATTTCATTTAACCTTTCTTACGTTTCTCCTTTGATTCTAAATGTATAAAATGAACTGCAAAACTGCCTTTTTCTTAATCCAGTGAGCTCTTATTCTGGGCATGTCCTCAGTTTGGCACTAATAAACTCTAATAAACGCTTATAAAATTTTTCTATAGGTTTGGACATTCTTATGTCAACAGAGGGAATGGAAAGTTTTTCTGTTTGCTTAATATTAAACTTTTCTTTATGCATAGTGATGGGCAGAGAATGGTAGAGGTGTTTCAGTTTTATATAATGCCATGACCATTTGTCTCTTGAAATTATAATCTTAATTTTTAAAAATATATATTGTTTAAAAAAATCTGCGGTCATGGTCATAATAGGAAACACAGTGCTTACTTTGTTACTGTGTAAGGAATTCACTTTTATAAGATCATAATCCCTTATCTAGAAAGCTCTGAAAACTAAATGTTTTTTTTTCTTATATAAGTTTGCTGTCAAATCTGCTTTGATGGTAAAGCCTGACTTGCACTGATATGGGGTTATCTATAGGCTTTATCTTAGTGTGAGTACTCATACCCTCTGCTGCAAAATAGTGTGTGAGATTATGGAATTCTGATCCAGGGTACATTGAAGGTGTCAAGTAGTAAATGTGCATATCCTATGCTATAAAAAAAAAAATCAGGAACACATGTGGTCCCAAGGATTTGGAAAAAGGGATTGTATATCTACACTTAACCTTCAAATCAACCTTTTGAAGTCGATGTCATTATTTCCATTTTTAAAATGAATAAAGGTTAAGTAACTTACTTAAGGTCATATGGCAAGTAAGTGGCAAAGTTAGGATTCTGATTTGTGCAGTTTGGCTCCAGAGTCCATGCTCTGAACCATTAACTATACGGCACTTCTCTTAGTGCTTTTCTGTTTAATCATAAGCATATAGATCAACTGTAGCGTGAGTCAAACTTTAGTCAAAATTTATTTGCTTATGACTTTTAATACCTTTGAATTACAGTTTAAACATTCAGATATCAGAGAATCAGTAAACTATATCTTGCTGATAGTTCGGCATTCTGCCTAACACTTTATGAGCTATCCAAAATGTCAATATAAGAGCCTCAAACTTAACATTTAACAAACTTTAATATAATGTACAAATTATGATTATATAAAATTTCAAATTTACACAAATAGAACAGATTATGAATCTCCATATAGTCATTAACATAAATTCTTTAACTGTTCAACAATTCGTGGATCATTTTGTTTTATTTATTTTTCACTTGCATTTCTTCTCAATCCACACTATTTTGAAGCAAATATTAGCCATATGATTTGATTATCATATTTGAGTGTGGGATATTTCTGTAATAAGTAACATTACATCATCAGCTATTTGGTTACTTGCATCATAATTCCATTAGGAAAGACAGGATAAATATGCTCAATTTTTTTTTTTTTTTTACCAGTTTTCACAATAAGAGTGGGTTTCCTTCTGTCATCAGAGATGAACAATGAGATTTTTGGCTTTTGTATTTGGTTGATTGGTTGAATCTTTTTTATATAATATTTAATATATATGTGTTTCAATCCATTCCAGTTACTTTTATTGATGCTTGAAATTATCTTCGGCCAGAGGGATGCTTTTCAAATTGGTTTCTAAGTCTTTTTGATAGGACTCTCATAGCCTTTGATGGTTTCCCTGCTTGCTCCACATGCAACATGTTTCAGGTTCATTTTGTTCATTTGCTGCCCCAGACCCCAAATTACCCATGTTTCTAGGAGTCTCTGTTCTTTTTAATGGGAAATGGTTTGTAGCAATCACAGTCTCAGTGCAAGGGGAGCTTGTTGCTATGGACAAAATAGAGGTGTTGTAATAAATCATAAATTCTTAACTGGGCAGGTCATGGTGGGTAGTCCCACCCCAGGCCCATATAACTTGTTTAGTGGAAGGTTTTTAAGCCAGCCTTGTCCATTGTTCTTTGAAATGCTAGAATACCCTTAGAAGGCGTAACCATCTTCAAGAGCACATAATCTTGTTAACTATCCTGTAATCCAATCCCTGCCTTGCATTATCCTACCTTTATGTAATCTTCCTTACATCCCCTCCTAATTCCAAATGCATAAAAGAAACTGCAAACTCTTATTTGAGACTTTGCTTTCTAGGAATCATCATTTTTTGCTCAAACTCAGAAATTCTCTACGGGTTTGGATGTTTCTTATGTCGACATTGCTATGGAGTTGGTTGTTTATAGGTCTTTTCAATGGATGATGGAGGAGGTTTGTTTTTAAAGATAAAATATATTGTTAATTCATATTGGAACCTGTAATTGAAATTTAGAACTACAAGATTTTTATATAACCTCATCAGGCTTACATCTGTATTACATGTTAAAATTTTCAGCTTGAAAGATGCCGTCTTAACCACTTCCATTTGGTTAATCCCAACCAACACTGCCACTAAGAATTTGGCTATTGAAAACAATTTATGATTCTTTTGTAATTCTTTTAGTCCTGAGGTACGTCCTACCAAGATGTACAAACTACGTTTCTAAGCCACTTGGGATAATTCTTCTGTTGTGGTATGCTGCTGATTCATTTAGATTCATTTATTTTCATTTTACTTTCAATGATAAAGGATTACTTTTTAAAATTTTAATTTTGTTTTATAATGTAAAATACATGATTCTAAAGTCACATCTATATAATGTAGATTCAGAGAAGTTTTTTTGTTACGTCTATGTATATTCCCTTTCTCAGATAAATGACAGCATAGAACACATCCTTTTTCCACCATGCTTTTTCCACTCAATATGTCCTGCCGTGTCTAGAGAGACTACTCAATCCTTTTTCACACCTGCATAGTTCTAGATTGTGTGGATATACAGTAGTTTATTCTGATTAATCAGTCTCCTATTATTAGACATTTGAGTTTATTGTAATGTCAATTTGAAGAAAGTTTAAAACTAAATCTTAACATTGACTGATTTTGGGGGGGAAATTATATGTTGAGAATGGCTGTTGCAATAATACATAACTCAGTCTTATGTTCTTAAAGTCCCATCATGTTTGCTCTAAGGCTGAATGACTACAGGTTAAATGACTACAGGTGCCCCTTAAAGTAGCATCACGTGCGTGTCACACCAATTTAGTTGGCATGTATAGTCTTACAATGAGGCTATTCTATTTTTATAAGCCTTTCTTATGTATTATGTTTTTAAAATATATAAATGTATTTTATGTAATATATATATCACGCCACACAATGGCAAACCAGCTTGTTTGAAAATTTATTTTAAATGCCTACAATTCATTTTGAATTAGCTAACAGGAAAGCTACATTTCCTGTACATGACCAAAATAGGACAGTGGCAAGTAAGCTGAAAAAAGCATGTTTAAAAATCACTGTCCTTATTGGTATGGGGTGGGCAAAATATGAAATAATAGAGCAGTAGTTCCCTTAGAGGCAAAGTCTTTTACATAAAGAGTAAGTAGGTTAATACTGTGAAGTGCTTTAGAATAACGACTGGTGCATGTCAAATACTCTATGTTTTTGCGTTATTTGAAAAAAAAAAAAAAGCCAGATTACATTCCTAAATCCAGATAACACTCATGCCTATTACTAACAGAACTTGTACAATTCTCATAATAACATCTAAAAAACATTATTTTAAAAGCATTTAAGCCTTTGGAAATAAATTGTTGCGTTTCCTATGATCACATTACTTAATACTGGTGACTTTATGTGTCTGAGCATAAGTTTATTTTATGGTGTCAACCTCCATGTAATCAGCTCAAGTTGAATCAGTATTTAATGATTAACTCTAGTATGCTCTCATAGAGATGCCAAGAGTAGAAGACAGTGTAGGAGATGGGCGTTCAAATAATTATGATAAAATAATAAACAATTAGAATTCAAGTCATTGTAAAATAAAATGATAAAAATTAAACTCCACAGAGCAGCACTTGAATTTGGTGAGTTTTCGGATAGGTAAGGGGAGAGTCAAGTATACTACTACGTAATGTGCGGGGACGCCAAAGATCCTCATCATCAGAAAATGCCCCAGATTTGAAAGTTAGGGTAGCTAGCTTCTGCCCTAATTAAGAAAACAGTAAAAATCGTCATCAATGAAACGCAATAGAATGGAGGAGAGTCAGGTTTTTTATCTTAGGATCCTTTAAGCCTTATCGCTTTCTCCCAAGGAGGACACTCCAGCTTCTTTAGATGCCGCTTTTCTTTCTAGCTCTGCTGAGACAGCTGGCGCGGAGGCTCCCGCCCCGACCTCAGCCGCAGGGCCAGCAGATGGTGCCCCACCAGCCCCTCCCAGCGCGCCCGCGTGGGGCTCTGGGCGCCCAGCCCTTGGCTGGCCCGGTGTCGCCCCAGGCTTCGGCCTCCGGCCGCCCCCTCCGCAGGCTCGGGCCCGCCTCCCCGCGCAGGCTCTGGCGCCCCAGGTTTCCGGTGAGCGGCAGTAGCCGGTTATGACGACTCCCTCCTTCTGAGCAGCGGCCGTCTCCTCCTCCTTCGGAGCCCTGACTCCCCCGGCTCCAGGTGGGACTCGCCCCGGGAATCCGCGGAGCCTTCACCGCCCCCTCCCCGCGGTGGCCGGGCTGTGCGCGCCTCTTTCGCCCAGGCACGCAGCGGGCGGTCCTGCCAGCTCCTGGCGCGGCTCCGCGGCGGGCTGCAGCCTCTCCTCGGGCTCCGCCAGCACCTTCCCACCGCCTGCGGGCCGGCGCTGGGCCTCCCGGGCCCCGGGCGCTCGGCCCCTTCGAGGTGCCTGTAGCGGGGAGGATTCCCCGTTCCCGGCCTGCGCC